ACCTTTGTGTTGGTTGACAGTTGCTTTGAGCTCCAGATGTTCTTCAGTTGTAAATATACTGCTCTTGCTTTGCCGATCCGCACCTTCACATCTGCATCAGATCCACCCTGTTCATCAATGATGCTGCCCAAATATGTAAAGGTTTTTACATCTTCCAAATCTTCTCCATCAAGTGTGATTGGATTGGTGCATGATGTGTTGTATCGGAGAATCCTGCTTTGCCCTTTGTGTATGTTGAGACCTATTGCTGCTGAGGCTGCTGCCACGCTGTTTGTCTTCTCCTGCATCTGTTGTTGCGTGTGGGATAGAAGGGCCAGATCGTCTGCGAAGTCTAGATCATCCAACTGCATCTTAAATGTCCATTGTATCCCGCGCTTTCCTTCAGACGTTGACGTCTTCATGATCCAGTCGATCACCAGGAGAAAGAGAAAGGGTGAGAGTAAGCAACCTTGCCTAACACCGGTCTTCACTTCGAATGACTTTGTCAACTGTCCTCCATGCACAATTTTGCAGTGTAATCCATCATATGAGTTCTGTATGATATTGACTATCTTCTGAGGCACGCCGTAGTGTCGAAGAAGTTTCCATAGTGTTGTTCTGTCCACGCTGTCAAATGCCTTTTCGTAGTCAATGAAGTTGATGTAGAGTGATGAATTCCATTCAATTGATTGTTCCACAATGATCCGTAGAGTTGCGATTTGGTCTGTACACGATCTATCCTTACGGAATCCTGCCTGTTGGTCTCGAAGTTGGGCGTCTACGCAGTCCTTCATCCTGTTTAACAATACCCTGTTGAAGACTTTTCCCGGTATTGAGAGAAGAGTGATGCCTCTGTAGTTATCACACTTGCTGAGATCGCCTTTCTTCGGTATTTTGATCAGAAGTCCTTCTTTCCAGTCTGTTGGTACTTGTTCCTCATCCCAAATCTTATTGAAGAGAATGTGGAGTATCCTTGCAGTTGCCGCTACGTCTGCTTTTAGTGCCTCTGCCGGGATGTTGTCCGGTCCTGCTGCTTTGCCACTCTTGATTTGCCTGACGGCCATGCTGATTTCTTCAATTGTTGGTGGGCCAACATTGATTGGGAGGTCCGTGGGTGCTGCTTCGATGTTGGGTGGGTTCAGTGGAGCTGTTCGATTCAAGAGTTCTTTGAAGTGTTCTACCCACCTGTTTTGTTGCTCTTCAATGTTGGTGATTACCTTACCTTCCTTGCTTTTCACTGGTCGTTCTGGTTTACGACGATTTCCAGAGAGTTTCTTTGTCGTGTCATACAATTGTCTCATGTTTCCTTCTCTTGAAGCCTTTTCCGCCGTCGTTGCTAAATCTTCCACATATTTACGTTTGTCGGTTCTGATGCTCCTCCTCACTTGTTTGTTTATTTCCGTGTATTCAGCTTGTGCCTTAGCTTTTTCTGCTCTTGTTTGGCTGGTATTGATCGCTGCCTTCTTGTTTCTTCTTTCTTGAATCTTATCCAGTGTATCAACAGTGATCCATTCCTTGTGGTGGTGCTTCTTGTGACCCAGGACCTCATGACATGTTGAAGTGATTGCCTCTTTGACCCCCTTCCAGTTGCTCTCCACAGTAGTTCCTTCTCCATTGAGTAGATCATGAAAGGCCTGGAACTTGTTGCTGAGGACTATCTTGAATTTGTTGAGTTTGTTAGTATCCTGGAGAAAGGCCGTATTGAACTTTTGTGATACTGTCTGCTCCGTTGTCCAGTGCTTCTTGAGTTTCAATTTCATCTTGGCGACCAGTAAGTGATGATCTGATGCTATATCAGCTCCTCTCCTGGTTCTCACGTCCTCTATAGTCCTCCTGAACGTTTTGTTGATGCAAATATGGTCGATTTGGTTTTGTGTAGAGTGATCCGGTGACGTCCATGTGGTTTTGTGTATGCGTTTATGTGGGAATACGGTGCCGCCTATGACCAGCTTATTGAAGGCACATAGATTTGCAAATCTCTCACCATTTTCGTTTCTTTCTCCCAGTCCGTGTCGTCCCATGATGTCTTCATATCCAGTGTTGTCCGTTCCAACCTTGGCGTTGAAATCTCCCATCAGAATGGTGAGGTCCTTTGTTTGGCACTTCTCGACGATTGACTGCAGCCTATTGTAGAATTGATCTTTAGTGTCTTCATTGTAGTCGTTGGTAGGCGCATAGCATTGGATGATGTTCATTGAAGTGCCCTCTTTCTTTGTTTTGAAGGAGGCTTTGATGATCCTTGGTCCATGAGATTCCCATCCTATAAGTGCCTTTTGTGCTTGTTTGGACAGTATCAATGCAACTCCTTGTGTATGTGGAGCATTTTCTTCATCATGGCCGGAGTATAACACGAGCTCTCCTGTAGTTAGTCGTTGTTGTCCAACTTGTGTCCAATGTGTTTCACTGATCCCAAGTACCTCTAGGTTGTATCTTCTCATTTCTGCAGCAATTTGGAAGGCTCTTCCGGTGTCCCACATTGTACGAACATTCCATGTACCTAAATAAATGGTTGCTCTGGTTGTCAGAAGGGGCATCGGCCTCGTAACTTCCGAAGGAATTCGGCTTTCATCATGAGGCGTCATAATTCTTCTAAATGAAGACCTTCTGACTCCCAGGGCAGAGTTTAAAAGGTTTGAATAATTTTTTCTGGTTAGCGTCTTTTTAGCGAGTTAGTTTTCTACGGGATGGGGACGCTAACCCCATGCCCAACCCTCCTCCTTTATCCGGGCTTGGGACCGGCAGTATCCCCCGGAGGGACTCCAGGCGGAGTTTCTGTCAAAATATATTATTCTTATATTCACTTGGTGTTGTTTGGCTTGAATCTTCCCATTGAGGTTTAAGATTGCAATTGATCAGTCTCTTATTGGTATATGTATATACTGTGCGTATGCCTCGATATTGCCTTAATTCACAAGCTTTGTAAGGAATGATAGATAGTGGCTAGCAGTGGAATCCAGGATGCGCGTTTCGTCCTATTTGGGACTCGTTAGCTGAATGTACCTGCATCTCAGAGTTGATGTTCACTCTGAGACTCGAACCCAGCACCATTCGCTTCAAAACGCCATCGCGTTATCCACTCAGCTACTGAGTCCTGATAGCCAATAGGACGAAACGCGCGTCCTGGATTCCACTGATAGCCACTATCCATCATTGCTTACAAAGCTGATTATTCATATAGTTAACTAAATCAATAATGAGATACTTATCATTGATAAATATTGAATTGAAGTTAGAAATATGAGAATCTAGGAGACAAGAAAGTAATTATTATCGAGAATTATGAATGAGCACTATTGAAGTATCCTTGATGTGAATTAAATACCCGGGTCAGTGATGTAAATTATCTCCTCATCTCTATAAGAAAAGAATTTACACTTAGAACTGTAAAAGGCACAGTTAAGGTATTAGTTTTTGAAATTATAAGATTAATATGAAGTTAAAACAAAACGATAAATGATTACTTATATAATTTGATTCCACATTATAAATTTGATCAAAATTTTTTCTAGTTTTCTTTAAATTAAATAATGTGAAGTAGTCCTTCTCACTACCTTCTCGTGGTGGTGTTGATTACGAAATTGAGAGGACGAAAAGCGAATGTCCGGCGCTTTAACCAGGTTGGTGGACATGGAGAGCACACCTAGGGGAGTTGGAAAACTCTGATTCCGAACCAATTCTGCACAAGGGCTCCAGTATCCTGAAGGAAAAAATGGCATATGAATCAATCGTTGGTCACTAGCTACCATGGGGCTGCATCACCTGAAGTTGCTCCGCTGACTTATGGATCAGACGTTTTGGTCGAAGGCTCCGGGTGTGGCCCCCTAAGAAAACCATCTGCTTCGGTTCGGGCACACGGGCAGTATCATAGCCCACACACAAATCAAGTCACTTGTTTGGCGCATATGTATTCAGTGCCTCTTTGTATCAATATTTATGTGTTCAAATAAATAAATAAGTGCCCATGAATTGTCACTTAAGGCATTAACTAAGAAGCCATTCAGAAACACTTTATCAATCAAGTGTTAGAGGAAGCTTAAAGGTCCAATCAATTATCACTGAAAAGATAATATTCCCATAAAATATATTCCACTTATTAAACTGGAGAAGAATAGAAGTTCAGTTGATTTTGTATGAGAAACCATATTTATTTATCATAAGAGTCTTTAAAGAATAATCATTCATTCTAAGGGTTAGTATGACAAGTTTATCGACCACAATAATAAGGTATTAAAAACATAAAGATATTAAGTGCACGACATATTTCATCATTCAACCAGTACTTCTGGACAAATTAACTGCTCATATTTATTATCAAACTGTGCATTGTATATACATTTATTGTACACACAATAAGTCGATAAAAAGAAGTCTATTATGTATATAGTACTGCATATGGTTACGTAATCAGAATAAAGAATCTCAATTAATTCGTTTTTATCATAAAAGAATTTTGTGGAGATTGTAGTAATTTAATACTTGAATTCATGTATCCATTGAAGCTAGACTATCATTAAAAACTTTGAAGTACTGGACGGTCGTTTCGTTCCAGTAAGGAACTCCTTAGCCATGCGCATCTACAATCCCGCTCACCGGACTCGAACCCAGGAACTTAGATCTTCCTCGCGAACACTTAACCTCTAGACCACTGAGCAAGTACTCAACTGTGTTATTTCTTTTTTATGAAAAACCTAAATCCAATTTAAAATTGACTAATAATCAAAATGATTTTTAGAAAAACAATAACTATGAATCTAATTGAAAATTCCAAAGTTCTACGAAACTTATCGTTACTTTTTAAAACTTATGATTTATTCATTGAGTTAGTTACGATTAAGAAAATGAGCGGGGAAAAATGATTAATTTAATTAGACTAGTTTATCCAGTATTTTGTCAGATATAATCAACTGTTTTATTCAAGTGAAATCAGGTCACGATTATACAAGAATTTAATTTATTATTTTTCTTTCATAACTTATTCAACTCAATATGATACATGGTATAGGTTAATTGTATGGTTGAAATCATTTATGAAGACGATTATTATTATTATTATTATTATTATTATTATTATTATTATTATTATTATTATTATTATTATTATTATTATTATTATTATTACATTTCCTTAAATAAATAGGATACTAACGCTACTTATATGCACGAAAATAAACGATATTCATTAAAATTTTTATTGAACTCATTAAATTGTATTATAGGAAACAAGGTATAAAATCGAATGACTTCAGTAAAATCCATCATTTCAAAACTGAGTACAACTTTTTTCAGAAAAAAAAAGAATATTTCCACTTAATATTGGAAATTTTATAAGTAATATAGCATAGATGAATTTTAAAAAAACTTCTAGTAAAAAGTATACAAAATTATGCTTAGAATAAAACTAATGTTGGAAACTATGAGTTCATCTTTAAACTGACATTGAACAACTTTTACTAAAACAATTCCTATAATGAATAGGAGAGTAAATACGAAGAGCTATTGAGTATCAAAAAGTATTGAAAACTTGTTTTGTCCTTGTTTAGAACTTCTCAGTAGTACATGCCTGTAGACTGCGGATATGTGATTGAATCCAGAAACATACTTCATAAATGACAAAATCAATCTGATTTTTCCATCCAAATAAATACAAAACATTGGATCATATGACAAAAATTTCAGTGAAACAACTCTTACTACATTAAACACAGTTAAATAGTTTCTAGAAGTGAAATCATGGAGAGCTTTGTTGTCGTATTTAAAACTCGTCAGATGGATGTGCCTATATCTCGGAGTTGATGTTCACTCTAGAATTCGAAATTGACATCATTCACTTTAAATACCATCGTGTTATTCACCTAGCTAATGAATTCAGATATCGATTGGCTTATACAATGGGATGAATTTTTAAAACATTCATATTGGTAATTTAATGTTTTTAATTAGAACCAATATAAATGAACTATTATCGTAGATTCCCTTGAACTTTTTTTCAGTTCTTTAAATACGTGTGCTACGGGCTGGTGTCACTCCCCGGCTGCCCACACCGTGGAAGGGTATTTCTTGAGGAACCTGAAAAGGAAATTGGATTAGTGTTGGCCTGAACGACCTGGGAGCGTGACCTCAGAGCCCAAGGGACAACTACTTCAGGCCGGTCGCGCACGGCCTTTCTGCGGGACGTTTTTAATGTGTTAGCTCCGTTCTTCAAAGGGCCTTATCGCCGGAGACGGAAATCCGTGAGGTAAGGTGAGGTGTGACATTTTTAGGGCCAACTTTTTCTAACCCCACCCCTCCTTGTGGGAAGACGGTATCGCTGCAGATTCTGGTTGTCCGATGGAAACACCTTATTGCTGTCACACCCCTCTACAGTCAGTAGTACGACTTCGCCCTCAGACCTTGAGTTTCTGCTTTTAGTCCTACCGTTCTCCAATCGACCTACCTGGCATGGTAGAACCTACAGGAACATATGTTCCAGCCAATATAGTTCGGTTGGGTCATCACGATAGGCAAGCCCGACCACCGCGTCAGGGTAGCAGCTACGGTCACAAACCTATAAAAGTAGGTGTTGAAATAGAAACTATCTTAAAATTATAAAATAGATTATATACCAAAAAAACTGATGAGTTAATGATCAATACAAAAATGAATATGTTTATTTCGTTTATCATCTTACATTAACCAATTTTTGTAATGTTAAAAAGCAAAAATAAATGAATATTTGATCTGGTAGTACACAAGTTATTCAAAATGATACATAAGGAGTTTTTCGACAAACATTTTTCTTCACTAACTTCAGCATTAAGTTGTAATAATCATAAATCAATCAATAATGTACTACAATAAACAGTATAAGTCATATACTCAAATGTTTTGATTGAGTTACACTCATTCATAGAATACAGTGCATTTTCTGATGGTTGACTAGATTATGAAGTACTAATAGTGTGTATACTGTCATTAAAAATTTAAAAATTGTAGTATTTTGTATTGTATTTTAAGAAAATATCATATCACATGGAATTATTTTTTGTATAATATTCAAGACAATATTCGTATCAGTTTTACCTTCAAAAAAGTTTTCATATTTACAAAGATAAAATAAAACTCCATGTTCTTAAAAAAATCTCAAAGCATTATTCTTTTTGGAAGATAGAGATAAGTTGTTTTATTTGGAAGTATATGGTATGGTATTATTAGCCATTAGGGGTTCGTATTTTTCGTTGCTTGAATGGTTAAGAAGAAATATGCCTAGTTTTTTATAACATGAGGTCCTTTAATTAGATTCATGGATGATGCATACATGCACAGATTGATTTTGTTTTGGATAGTGGTGAGAAATTAGGCTTGAAAATGCTTGTTTCGTCCTATGTAGTACAGATGTATATATTTTCATTTGCAGTTATCAACTAAGCCTCTGAGTCCAGATTGTCATCAACTTCTTCAGTGGGCATGATATTTAATATCAATTGTAATGTTTCATTGAAATCATGAACCGATCAAAGTTTGACAGCCACCGAAAAACTAGGAAGCACAGTACGTTCATTCCGTCCTAAAAAAGAACGGCTCGGTAGTGTACAGCAACGGTCTCGTACGCAGGCGTCACACCTAGGACCTTCGGTCTCTTGTGTGAACGCTTAAACTCTAGACTACTGAGCTAGTGCCTAACGGTGTTAATGTCTACCTTTCACCAATCCACGACACTGTGCAACCATCTTCCATTGTTTTCAGTGGGTAACTGCCCAGCATCTGACACAGTTGCAATCCGCTGGTCACTGCTTCTCATTACAATTCCGGAAATTTTCTCTTGAATCTAAATGCTGGCTCAATGTTTTGGGGTCTGTTATGCCCCGATAAGAATAATGAGTGGTAGTTTTTGGGATCCATTCGTGGACCATTACTATACGTATATTTTACCGTATAATTGTTAATTAACTAAACCATTCTTATCGACTAAATGTTTAAAAAAACTTCCATAGTAATATCGATTATATACATATAATTGATATATATACGTTTTGAATTGTGTTTGTGGGATCGCTCGTTTCTGGCTGTTTGCAGAATATACTTTCCCATTACAAGCTTGGACTTCGCCCTCTAGTTAGCGGGGCTGGGATGCATCAAATATCTAGCTTACTGGTCTTTGGTCACTGAGTCTTTATTCTCGTTCGCAGATTAAGTGAACTCGTGATAGCTTCAAACCTAGCAGGGTCGAGAGTTCGCGCGCTGGGCCAAGGGTCCAGAAGTCAACCCCCACATGTGGAGTCACGTCCCCACATTGGTGAAGTCCTATGCTAGGATGGAATAGATGACTAGTTCTTTCAGTTTGAAATGGTCGCCCAGCTTAGATCGGTTAATGATCCTAAAGGTAAAAAATATCCACAACCCTTTAATGTTTACCATGTTTCATATCTTCCATTTGTTAATAATAAAACCAAATGTGATTGATTTCTTTTGGTATGTAGAATGAGATCAGTCAGGAATATCAAAATCAAAGTCGTACAGATCATTACAATTAATAATAAACTTCGTACCCGTAGCGTTCAACGTTTTTTATACCAAACGAATGTACTTTTCTTATTGACTGTAGGTACTGTTAGGACTAACCGCAGTGAATAAGCGTCTATATGTTCTGAACTTCATTTTTATTCTTTGTCATTCATTTGTTAACTGATGAGAAAACTCAGTCACACTTTTTTTCATTATAACTATGTTGGTTGGCAGAAAGTTTACTCATCAATGCCATTGGAAAATGGCTGAAAGATTGAATTTAGAGAAGCAAGCCACCGGACTCACTAATCTAACACTTCGGCGCTACGAGGCCTGAAGATCATTGGTTCGACCGCCAATGGGGTCATAGATGCACATCTCTTGAGAGTTCCATAATAGAATGGAGTAATTTTCAATTGCTTAATGGTTTTCAACGATTGTTTGACGGAGTTTAGTTCCTAATGTAGGAACTTACACGAAGCTAAGAGCGGAAGTACCTAAAAATGACACCAGTCCATAGAGTTACTGACAATGGAACTGAGGTACATTAGCAGGTTTAGACTACATGTTGGGGGTTCTTTTGATTATGGAAATTAGCGGCTACACATTGAATGACATGGCCCAAAATCTTTCGCAAAGTCACAGACGTGTTGACTGAATATTTTCTTTCTTCTAAACTGCTGATTTCCTAATAATTTTATTTCTTTTATTCCAATAATTTATATTTTCTTGAATCGAATTTTCCGATACCTAATCTTCCCTGTCACCACTAATTCTGTTACTACCTCTACTAATCTGGAATTTGCCTTGAGAGTTTGACCTCTCAGTACTTATGGGGTATGGGAACGTGAACGGATGAAGAAAAATACAAAATTCAACAACACGTATAGACTCCATTCGATAATGAGTACTTTATGTATGCGTAATACCTCCAGTATTTCAGTTAACATTCACATAATTAATCAGTTCGTGACTCTGTTTTTTTCTTTACTCCAGTGAATTTAGGTCTCGAGGATCAACTGCATCAGCAAACTAACAATTCACGGATTTTAACTCGTACCATTAATTTATCAAGCAAGTCATCATAACGGCTACCATTTATGCTGTACTTAATACAAAGGTTTATTTATCTTGCTGTAGGACGATTCGCCTGGAGAGTCCGAAGTGAGTCTTTAAATGGCTTACTTACACCTATTACCCCTCGCGGTGATGCATAGGCTAGGTAATCCTATACAGTTGTTTCCAGTTGCTATTCATCCTTTTCATATCTGTGCTTCCAAATCTCGACTTAGCGTGCTCTTTGGTCTTATTCTTTTCCGTTCCCCATAGGATTCCGAGTTGATGCTTTCTTCGTGTAGCTTGATTTCCGTAGTGTATGTCCAATCCACTTACAATGTCTTTTCCTAATTTCCTCTCAAGCTGGAAGCTGGTTTGTCCTATCCCACAATAAACTGTTACTCATGGTATCCAGTCGACTAACATTGAGTATTTTACGTAGACAATTGTTTATAAATGCTTGTACATTTTTGATAATGGTTGTAGTTGTTCAAGTTTCAGTCGCGAGTGGTATAATTATCTTGACGTTCGTATTGAAGATTTTGACTTCGATGTTGGCTCACAAACAGTTGTTTTGAGTTCCATATGTTCTCTGACTGTATGAATACTACCCTCACTTTATCAATCAATACCATTACATCCGCATCAGATCCTTCTTGTTCATCGATTATACTGACCAGGTATGTGGAAGTTCTCACCTGTTCCAGAGCTTCTCCATCAAA